TTCGCGATAATTTGGCCCCCTGCGTGAGATACCACGTAACCGACGAAGACTCGCATCCTGTACCTAAAACCGTAAAATTTCAGCACGCCGGAGTCGTAGGATCCGATGTTTTAAAAAAGCTTCGTTTACGGGGTAAGAGTTTTGACGACTTTAAAGAGTCGAGAGCCGTCGTGGCGGCTATTAAACCGTATAACGAAGACGTTATGAACATCGCCGACTACAACAGCCGGATCGTCGGATTGGGGGGCGATGGCTGCGAAAAACAATATCGGAAGTACGTTACGATTACAGAGTTGTTGTATAAGCTGGGTTACGCGAGCGACGACGTTAGGATCCACCGGTCGACTATCGGAGATAAACTATACGAGTATTCTAAAAACGTTTCCAATTACCCAAAAATAACAAAAATCGAAACCAACTACTGTAAAGACATAACGGAATACTCGCTCTGTTACGGGTACGTCCCTTTCACGTATTCGTCAGAGTTTCAGGTCTTGGTTACGAGACTTATTGAAAAGAGAAAATATTTGAATTATAATTACGATCTGGTGGAGGGTGAGATCGAGTTGTTATTTTTGGGTTGTTGGCGGTTAGAAAACAATGGTATTAAAGGGTATGATCCGAAGGTGACACGGACGACGAAAAAACAATTTCTTTCTCACGTTTTATCTAAAATTCGCAAAATATTCAATGTCGAAAAAAATGAAATGACGAAAAAAATATTTAAAAAAATCTTTAAAATCATTGTGCATTTTTCGAATTTCGGAGATCCGAAAAAAATTCCGGCCTTAGCGCTTGTACACCTCAAAAAAAATATTATATGCTTTTTACGCGCACACCATCAGTCGGAAAAAGAATTATTTTTAGAAGCGGCCGGTCTTTTTTCGGATCTGAAATTGCACAGCTTAATTTTCCCCATAACATTCAACGTTCTAATGTCGAACCGTGACAACGTTTACGCTTGGTTCACAACCATGACGACTTTACATATCTCGGACGACATTGAAACTGCCGAACGGGCCAGTGTCATGTATTATGTAACGAAAACCCCCTCGGAAACGCATATTAAACATCGAGCCGTTTTCAGCAAGTTAGACGTGGTCGCTTTACTGGGGCCGTTTTTCAAACGGGAATCGGACGTGCCCCTTAAACTTTGCATTTATATGGACAATTTGTTCATGGCGGTATCTTATTGGCTCGCACATTACGTAGCAAAATCAGATTTAATATATAGCAGGTTGAATAATACTAATTCCGAAGTATTTTTCGAGAAACTAAATAAAACCGTGATACATTGGTTCGAAGCAGAGTTGTTAGAGATGACGTCGTCGACGAAGATCAGCAAGCTGGCCTCGATACGACCATGAACATGACGAGCGGCACAGACACGATCCGGTTCAAACGCGACGACGACGTCGACGAAGATCAGCAAACTGACCTCGATACGACCATGAACATGACGAGCGGCACAGACACGATCCGGTTCAAACGCGACGGTGACAAGGGTTCCGGCAACAACAGAAAGCGACGACGACGACCACGACGATGACGGAGAAAAATCGGCTGTAAATAGTGGTAAAACTAGTAATAAGGTTAGGTCAGAAAAACCGTTGACCTGGGGAGAAGAAGCGTTTGTGAAAAAAGACGAGTCCGGAGCTCGGTCTTCGGACAGCGACAATTCGGACGATTACGATTTTGGTGTTGAGGCGAAAGACATCGAACCGAGTGATCGAAAGATGCGTGGGAGGGAAGTTGTATACGTTGTTCCGTCGAGAGAAAAGACGCCCGTACCAGTTTTAGACGGTAGCGTCGCCCGGTTTCGCGATAATTTGGCCCCCTGCGTGAGATACCACGTAACCGACGAAGACTCGCATCCTGTACCTAAAACCGTAAAATTTCAGCACGCCGGAGTCGTAGGATCCGATGTTTTAAAAAAGCTTCGTTTACGGGGTAAGAGTTTTGACGACTTTAAAGAGTCGAGAGCCGTCGTGGCGGCTATTAAACCGTATAACGAAGACGTTATGAACATCGCCGACTACAACAGCCGGATCGTCGGATTGGGGAGCGATGGCTGCGAAAAACAATATCGGAAGTACGTTACGATTACAGAGTTGTTGTATAAGCTGGGTTACGCGAGCGACGACGTTAGGATCCACCGGTCGACTATCGGAGATAAACTATACGAGTATTCTAAAAACGTTTCCAATTACCCAAAAATAACAAAAATCGAAACCAACTACTGTAAAGACATAACGGAATACTCGCTCTTTTACGGGTACGTCCCTTTCACGTATTCGTCAGAGTTTCAGGTCTTGGTTACGAGACTTATTGAAAAGAGAAAATATTTGAATTATAATTACGATCTGTTGGAGGGTGAGATCGAGTTGTTATTTTTGGGTTGTTGGCGGTTAGAAAACAATGATATTAAAGGGTATGATCCGAAGGTGACACGGACGACGAAAAAACAATTTCTTTCTCACGTTTTATCTAAAATTCGCAAAATATTCAATGTCGAAAAAAATGAAATGACGAAAAAAATATTTAAAAAAATCTTTAAAATCATTGTGCATTTTTCGAATTTCGGAGATCCGAAAAAAATTCCGGCCTTAGCGCTTGTACACCTCAACAAAAATATTATATGCTTTTTACGCGCACACCATCAGTCGGAAAAAGAATTATTTTTAGAAGCGGCCGGTCTTTTTTCGGATCTGAAATTGCACAGCTTAATTTTCCCCATAACATTCAACGTTCTATTGTCGAACCGTGACAACGTTTACGCTTGGTTCACAACCATGACGACTTTACATATCTCGGACGACATTGAAACTGCCGAACGGGCCAGTGTCATGTATTATGTAACGAAAACCCCCTCGGAAACGCATATTAAACATCGAGCCGTTTTCAGCAAGTTAGACGTGGTCGCTTTACTGGGGCCGTTTTTCAAACGGGAATCGGACGTGCCCCTTAAACTTTGCATTTATATGGACAATTTGTTCATGGCGGTATCTTATTGGCCAGCACATTACGTAGCAAAATCAGATTTAATATATAGCAGGTTGAATAATACTAATTCCGAAGTATTTTTCGAGAAACTAAATAAAACCGTGATACATTGGTTCGAAGCAGAGTTGTTAGAGATGACGTCGTCGACGAAGATCAGCAAGCTGGCCTCGATACGACCATGAACATGACGAGCGGCACAGACACGATCCGGTTCAAACGCGACGACGACGTCGACGAAGATCAGCAAACTGACCTCGATACGACCATGAACATGACGAGCGGCACAGACACGATCCGGTTCAAACGCGACGGTGACAAGGGTTCCGGCAACAACAGAAAGCGACGACGACGACCACGACGATGACGGAGAAAAATCGGCTGTAAATAGTGGTAAAACTAGTAATAAGGTTAGGTCAGAAAAACCGTTGACCTGGGGAGAAGAAGCGTTTGTGAAAAAAGACGAGTCCGGAGCTCGGTCTTCGGACAGCGACAATTCGGACGATTACGATTTTGGTGTTGAGGCGAAAGACATCGAACCGAGTGATCGAAAGATGCGTGGGAGGGAAGTTGTATACGTTGTTCCGTCGAGAGAAAAGTCGCCCGTACCGGTTTTAGACGGTAGCGTCGCCCGGTTTCGCGATAATTTGGCCCCCTGCGTGAGATACCACGTAACCGACGAAGACTCGCATCCTGTACCTAAAACCGTAAAATTTCAGCACGCCGGAGTCGTAGGATCCGATGTTTTAAAAAAGCTTCGTTTACGGGGTAAGAGTTTTGACGACTTTAAAGAGTCGAGAGCCGTCGTGGCGGCTATTAAACCGTATAACGAAGACGTTATGAACATCGCCGACTACAACAGCCGGATCGTCGGATTGGGGAGGCGATGGCTGCGAAAGACAATATCGGAAGTACGTTACGATTACAGAGTTGTTGTATAAGCTGGGTTACGCGAGCGACGACGTTAGGATCCACCGGTCGACTATCGGAGATAAACTATACGAGTATTCTAAAAACGTTTCCAATTACCCAAAAATAACAAAAATCGAAACCAACTACTGTAAAGACATAACGGAATACTCGCTCTGTTACGGGTACGTCCCTTTCACGTATTCGTCAGAGTTTCAGGTCTTGGTTACGAGACTTATTGAAAAGAGAAAATATTTGAATTATAATTACGATCTGGTGGAGGGTGAGATCGAGTTGTTATTTTTGGGTTGTTGGCGGTTAGAAAACAATGATATTAAAGGGTATGATCCGAAGGTGACACGGACGACGAAAAAACAATTTCTTTCTCACGTTTTATCTAAAATTCGCAAAATATTCAATGTCGAAAAAAATGAAATGACGAAAAAAATATTTAAAAAAATCTTTAAAATCATTGTGCATTTTTCGAATTTCGGATATCCGAAAAAAATTCCGGCCTTAGCGCTTGTACACCTCAAAAAAAATATTATATGCTTTTTACGCGCACACCATCAGTCGGAAAAAGAATTATTTTTAGAAGCGGCCGGTCTTTTTTCGGATCTGAAATTGCACAGCTTAATTTTCCCCATAACATTCAACGTTCTAATGTCGAACCGTGACAACGTTTACGCTTGGTTCACAACCATGACGACTTTACATATCTCGGACGACATTGAAACTGCCGAACGGGCCAGTGTCATGTATTATGTAACGAAAACCCCCTCGGAAACGCATATTAAACATCGAGCCGTTTTCAGCAAGTTAGACGTGGTCGCTTTACTGGGGCCGTTTTTCAAACGGGAATCGGACGTGCCCCTTAAACTTTGCATTTATATGGACAATTTGTTCATGGCGGTATCTTATTGGCCAGCACATTACGTAGCAAAATCAGATTTAATATATAGCAGGTTGAATAATACTAATTCCGAAGTATTTTTCGAGAAACTAAATAAAACCGTGATACATTGGGTCGAAGCAGAGTTGTTAGAGATGACGTCGTCGACGAAGATCAGCAAGCTGGCATCGATACGACCATGAACATGACGAGCGGCACAGACACGATCCGGTTCAAACGCGACGACGACGTCGACGAAGATCAGCAAACTGACCTCGATACGACCATGAACATGACGAGCGGCACAGACACGATCCGGTTCAAACGCGACGGTGACAAGGGTTCCGGCAACAACAGCAGCGACGACGACGACCACGACGATGACGGAGAAAAATCGGCTGTAAATAGTGGTAAAACTAGTAATAAGGTTAGGTCAGAAAAACCGTTGACCTGGGGAGAAGAAGCGTTTGTGAAAAAAGACGAGTCCGGAGCTCGGTCTTCGGACAGCGACAATTCGGACGATTACGATTTTGGTGTTGAGGCGAAAGACATCGAACCGAGTGATCGAAAGATGCGTGGGAGGGAAGTTGTATACGTTGTTCCGTCGAGAGAAAAGACGCCCGTACCGGTTTTAGACGGTAGCGTCGCCCGGTTTCGCGATAATTTGGCCCCCTGCGTGAGATACCACGTAACCGACGAAGACTCGCATCCTGTACCTAAAACCGTAAAATTTCAGCACGCCGGAGTCGTAGGATCCGATGTTTTAAAAAAGCTTCGTTTACGGGGTAAGAGTTTTGACGACTTTAAAGAGTCGAGAGCCGTCGTGGCGGCTATTAAACCGTATAACGAAGACGTTATGAACATCGCCGACTACAACAGCCGGATCGTCGGATTGGGGGTCGATGGCTGCGAAAAACAATATCGGAAGTACGTTACGATTACAGAGTTGTTGTATAAGCTGGGTTACGCGAGCGACGACGTTAGGATCCACCGGTCGACTATCGGAGATAAACTATACGAGTATTCTAAAAACGTTTCCAATTACCCAAAAATAACAAAAATCGAAACCAACTACTGTAAAGAAATAACGGAATACTCGCTCTGTTACGGGTACGTCCCTTTCACGTGTTCGTCAGAGTTTCAGGTCTTTTTTACGAGACTTATTGAAAAGAGAAAATATTTGAATTATAATTACGATCTGGTGGAGGGTGAGATCGAGTTGTTATTTTTGGGTTATTGGCGGTTAGAAAGCAACGATATTAAAGGGTATGATCCGAAGGTGACACGGACGACGAAAAAACAATTTCTTTCTCACCTTTTATCTAAAATTCGCAAAATATTCAATGTCGAAAAAAATGAAATGACGAAAAAAATATTTAAAAAATCTTTAAAATCATTGTGCATTTTTCGAATTTCGGAGATCCGAAAAAAATTCCGGCCTTAGGGCTTGTACACCTCAAAAAAAATATTATATGCTTTTTACGCGCACACCATCAGTCGGAAAAAGAATTATTTTTAGAAGCGGCCGGTCTTTTTTCGGATCTGAAATTGCACAGCTTAATTTTCCCCATAACATTCAACGTTCTAATGTCGAACCGTGACAACGTTTACGCTTGGTTCACAACCATGACGACTTTACATATCTCGGACGACATTGAAACTGCCGAACGGGCCAGTGTCATGTATTATGTAACGAAAACCCCCTCGGAAACGCATATTAAACATCGAGCCGTTTTCAGCAAGTTAGACGTGGTCGCTTTACTGGGGCCGTTTTTCAAACGGGAATCGGACGTGCCCCTTAAACTTTGCATTTATATGGACAATTTGTTCATGGCGGTATCTTATTGGCTCGCACATTACGTAGCAAAATCAGATTTAATATATAGCAGGTTGAATAATACTAATTCCGAAGTATTTTTCGAGAAACTAAATAAAACCGTGATACATTGGTTCGAAGCAGAGTTGTTAGAGATGACGTCGTCGACGAAGATCAGCAAGCTGGCCTCGATACGACCATGAACATGACGACCGGCACAGACACGATCCGGTTCAAACGCGACGGTGACAAGAGTTCCGGCAACGACAGCAGCGACGACGACGACCACGACGATGACGGAGAAAAATCGGCTGTAAATAGTGGTAAAACTAGTAATAAGGTTAGGTCAGAAAAACCGTTGACCTGGGGAGAAGAAGCGTTTGTGAAAAAAGACGAGTCCGGAGCTCGGTCTTCGGACAGCGACAATTCGGACGATTACGATTTTGGTGTTGAGGCGAAAGACATCGAACCGAGTGATCGAAAGATGCGTGGGAGGGAAGTTGTATACGTTGTTCCGTCGAGAGAAAAGACGCCCGTACCGGTTTTAGACGGTAGCGTCGCCCGGTTTCGCGATAATTTGGCCCCCTGCGTGAGATACCACGTAACCGACGAAGACTCGCATCCTGTACCTAAAACCGTAAAATTTCAGCACGCCGGAGTCGTAGGATCCGATGTTTTAAAAAAGCTTCGTTTACGGGGTAAGAGTTTTGACGACTTTAAAGAGTCGAGAGCCGTCGTGGCGGCTATTAAACCGTATAACGAAGACGTTATGAACATCGCCGACTACAACAGCCGGATCGTCGGATTGGGGGGCGATGGCTGCGAAAAACAATATCGGAAGTACGTTACGATTACAGAGTTGTTGTATAAGCTGGGTTACGCGAGCGACGACGTTAGGATCCACCGGTCGACTATCGGAGATAAACTATACGAGTATTCTAAAAACGTTTCCAATTACCCAAAAATAACAAAAATCGAAACCAACTACTGTAAAGACATAACGGAATACTCGCTCTGTTACGGGTACGTCCCTTTCACGTATTCGTCAGAGTTTCAGGTCTTGGTTACGAGACTTATTGAAAAGAGAAAATATTTGAATTATAATTACGATCTGGTGGAGGGTGAGATCGAGTTGTTATTTTTGGGTTGTTGGCGGTTAGAAAACAATGGTATTAAAGGGTATGATCCGAAGGTGACACGGACGACGAAAAAACAATTTCTTTCTCACGTTTTATCTAAAATTCGCAAAATATTCAATGTCGAAAAAAATGAAATGACGAAAAAAATATTTAAAAAAATCTTTAAAATCATTGTGCATTTTTCGAATTTCGGAGATCCGAAAAAAATTCCGGCCTTAGCGCTTGTACACCTCAAAAAAAATATTATATGCTTTTTACGCGCACACCATCAGTCGGAAAAAGAATTATTTTTAGAAGCGGCCGGTCTTTTTTCGGATCTGAAATTGCACAGCTTAATTTTCCCCATAACATTCAACGTTCTAATGTCGAACCGTGACAACGTTTACGCTTGGTTCACAACCATGACGACTTTACATATCTCGGACGACATTGAAACTGCCGAACGGGCCAGTGTCATGTATTATGTAACGAAAACCCCCTCGGAAACGCATATTAAACATCGAGCCGTTTTCAGCAAGTTAGACGTGGTCGCTTTACTGGGGCCGTTTTTCAAACGGGAATCGGACGTGCCCCTTAAACTTTGCATTTATATGGACAATTTGTTCATGGCGGTATCTTATTGGCTCGCACATTACGTAGCAAAATCAGATTTAATATATAGCAGGTTGAATAATACTAATTCCGAAGTATTTTTCGAGAAACTAAATAAAACCGTGATACATTGGTTCGAAGCAGAGTTGTTAGAGATGACGTCGTCGACGAAGATCAGCAAGCTGGCCTCGATACGACCATGAACATGACGAGCGGCACAGACACGATCCGGTTCAAACGCGACGACGACGTCGACGAAGATCAGCAAACTGACCTCGATACGACCATGAACATGACGAGCGGCACAGACACGATCCGGTTCAAACTCGACGGTGACAAGGGTTCCGGCAACAACAGAAAGCGACGACGACGACCACGACGATGACGGAGAAAAATCGGCTGTAAATAGTGGTAAAACTAGTAATAAGGTTAGGTCAGAAAAACCGTTGACATGGGGAGAAGAAGCGTTTGTGAAAAAAGACGAGTCCGGAGCTCGGTCTTCGGACAGCGACAATTCGGACGATTACGATTTTGGTGTTGAGGCGAAAGACATCGAACCGAGTGATCGAAAGATGCGTGGGAGGGAAGTTGTATACGTTGTTCCGTCGAGAGAAAAGACGCCCGTACCGGTTTTAGACGGTAGCGTCGCCCGGTTTCGCGATAATTTGGCCCCCTGCGTGAGATACCACGTAACCGACGAAGACTCGCATCCTGTACCTAAAACCGTAAAATTTCAGCACGCCGGAGTCGTAGGATCCGATGTTTTAAAAAAGCTTCGTTTACGGGGTAAGAGTTTTGACGACTTTAAAGAGTCGAGAGCCGTCGTGGCGGCTATTAAACCGTATAACAAAGACGTTATGAACATCGCCGACTACAACAGCCGGATCGTCGGATTGGGGGGCGATGGCTGCGAAAAACAATATCGGAAGTACGTTACGATTACAGAGTTGTTGTATAAGCTGGGTTACGCGAGCGACGACGTTAGGATCCACCGGTCGACTATCGGAGATAAACTATACGAGTATTCTAAAAACGTTTCCAATTACCCAAAAATAACAAAAATCGAAACCAACTACTGTAAAGAAATAACGGAATACTCGCTCTGTTACGGGTACGTCCCTTTCACGTGTTCGTCAGAGTTTCAGGTCTTTTTTACGAGACTTATTGAAAAGAGAAAATATTTGAATTATAATTACGATCTGGTGGAGGGTGAGATCGAGTTGTTATTTTTGGGTTATTGGCGGTTAGAAAGCAACGATATTAAAGGGTATGATCCGAAGGTGACACGGACGACGAAAAAACAATTTCTTTCTCACGTTTTATCTAAAATTCGCAAAATATTCAATGTCGAAAAAAATGAAATGACGAAAAAAATATTTAAAAAATCTTTAAAATCATTGTGCATTTTTCGAATTTCGGAGATCCGAAAAAAATTCCGGCCTTAGGGCTTGTACACCTCAAAAAAAATATTATATGCTTTTTACGCGCACACCATCAGTCGGAAAAAGAATTATTTTTAGAAGCGGCCGGTCTTTTTTCGGATCTGAAATTGCACAGCTTAATTTTCCCCATAACATTCAACGTTCTAATGTCGAACCGTGACAACGTTTACGCTTGGTTCACAACCATGACGACTTTACATATCTCGGACGACATTGAAACTGCCGAACGGGCCAGTGTCATGTATTATGTAACGAAAACCCCCTCGGAAACGCATATTAAACATCGAGCCGTTTTCAGCAAGTTAGACGTGGTCGCTTTACTGGGGCCGTTTTTCAAACGGGAATCGGACGTGCCCCTTAAACTTTGCATTTATATGGACAATTTGTTCATGGCGGTATCTTATTGGCTCGCACATTACGTAGCAAAATCAGATTTAATATATAGCAGGTTGAATAATACTAATTCCGAAGTATTTTTCGAGAAACTAAATAAAACCGTGATACATTGGTTCGAAGCAGAGTTGTTAGAGATGACGTCGTCGACGAAGATCAGCAAGCTGGCCTCGATACGACCATGAACATGACGACCGGCACAGACACGATCCGGTTCAAACGCGACGACGACGTCGACGAAGATCAGCAAACTGACCTCGATACGACCATGAACATGACGAGCGGCACAGACACGATCCGGTTCAAACTCGACGGTGACAAGGGTTCCGGCAACAACAGAAAGCGACGACGACGACCACGACGATGACGGAGAAAAATCGGCTGTAAATAGTGGTAAAACTAGTAATAAGGTTAGGTCAGAAAAACCGTTGACATGGGGAGAAGAAGCGTTTGTGAAAAAAGACGAGTCCGGAGCTCGGTCTTCGGACAGCGACAATTCGGACGATTACGATTTTGGTGTTGAGGCGAAAGACATCGAACCGAGTGATCGAAAGATGCGTGGGAGGGAAGTTGTATACGTTGTTCCGTCGAGAGAAAAGACGCCCGTACCGGTTTTAGACGGTAGCGTCGCCCGGTTTCGCGATAATTTGGCCCCCTGCGTGAGATACCACGTAACCGACGAAGACTCGCATCCTGTACCTAAAACCGTAAAATTTCAGCACGCCGGAGTCGTAGGATCCGATGTTTTAAAAAAGCTTCGTTTACGGGGTAAGAGTTTTGACGACTTTAAAGAGTCGAGAGCCGTCGTGGCGGCTATTAAACCGTATAACGAAGACGTTATGAACATCGCCGACTACAACAGCCGGATCGTCGGATTGGGGGGCGATGGCTGCGAAAAACAATATCGGAAGTACGTTACGATTACAGAGTTGTTGTATAAGCTGGGTTACGCGAGCGACGACGTTAGGATCCACCGGTCGACTATCGGAGATAAACTATACGAGTATTCTAAAAACGTTTCCAATTACCCAAAAATAACAAAAATCGAAACCAACTACTGTAA